TCATAAAAAATAAAGTAGTTTTTCTTCATCAACATAATAGCATTACCACAGACAAACAGATCAATCGCAGATTTCTGTCTCGGATTGGAAGATCGAAAGATTTACAAAAGAACTTGGTAGATGTGCATGTCTGTTACAAAAACGTCATCTAGTTTGGTGCAAGCCACTCACTGCATTAGTTATGAAGAAAATGCTTAGAACATCAATAGAATATTATTTTTTAGCAAAATTGAGATATCAGTGTGGGAATGAATAGAATTTCTCTACATTTGCTCTAGAACAATTTCTTTGGGGAATGCAAGCCAATTTTCTTAAAAAGAAATATCTTTTCATTGTCCTACATACAAACGAATTTTCATGTTTGGAGGAATGCTGATTCCTATTAATCGATAACAAATTATTTTGAAATTGTGATGAGAAATATTAAGTTTACTAAAATTAATGATAATAAATTGGGGTGTGAGATAGACTTGCCTCCACATGGTGCACTCTGGGCAACGTATGTTCATAGGGCAAAAATTCTATTAGCCAATAGTTGACTTCTCACTTCAAAGTACTATGACTCCATTCTATGTCACATTCTACCACTTTCACAGTACTCGCCTTACCCTACTCTCGACCTTTGTTTCTCTCTTTTACATCTTGGAAACACCCTTCTGTTCCCCCCTGTTGATACTTTCACTTTGATGTTTCTTCCTCTCTGTGAAACCTGAAGTCAGCTAAAGGGCTATTGATGACTATCAAAATGCCTGCCATTTGATATGAATGATAATAAATTGATGGATTTTACGAAATGGTATATATAAACAGACTTTTATTTGATCTAAACTCTATGTAACACTTTCGAGTTATCCTTTATATTCTATTTAGCAAAATGCCTATTAATTAATATAGGATTAATCGATTCCGCAAAGTATCTCAATTGATTTAATAATTTGAACGAGCAAATCCGTTGAACTAGAACTTGCGCCATTTATTTTGCAGAACTTTTTTTTTGTATAGCATATAAAGTGAATATTGTTTGATTTCCAACTGTCCAATTTATCGGCAATTCAGCAACAAATATGTGCATTTGTGGGAACTAGATTTCGGAAAGGCAACAACATCGTAGCTAATTGGTTGGCAATTAATTACGGACAGGCATACACATCCCAACTTATTTGCTGTTTTTCTATCGAGTTAAAGATGCCTCCGATTAGCGAATGCCCAATTGTTTTTAAGGCAGTAAGTAGGTCACATAAGTGCCATAATATAAAGGTAAATATTTGTATAAACCCACAATTTCCCACCAGATTATTATGCCTACCTGATTTCTTTGAGGACTGGATAACTTACGTAGTACGTATTTTCATTTAAGTGTCTGCAATTATTTCAACGCAAACCACTGTAAGTACCATTACAAGCGCTATGAATGGCTAAACCAATATTACATCATACATTATTTAGCAATTACCATTTGCTTTAATTTTCTCAAATCTCAATTTTCTAAGAGAAGTACATCCACTTAGTCATAATGCAAAAAGACTAGTTTTGATCGATAGGATTCTTTTCCTGTTTTAAATGTCTATTTGCATATCTTCATGTTAATGGGTTTTATCGATCTGCGTTTGATAAATATCATTTTAGAGAACTTTTAGGTTGGCATTCAGACGGAAAAATGCCAAATTGTAAATCACATTTAAGCCCAGGAACATCTCTGTATCTACAATAATAAACTGGTTTCTGGAAATGAGAGATTTTAAAATGGGTACAAATTGAAAATCCTCCTTTTCGGAAACTGTGACCAAAGCTCACACATTGGGCTTCAAAATCTTCAACATAGGAAGACATTAAGGACGGAGCGTGTGTGTGTCTTACTGGTTTTCTCTACTATCGAAGTCCGTAAATTTATTTATTCATTTTCTTGACCGAACCTGTTGGCATTTAAGAAAAAAATCCATATAGTCCTCAAATAAAATTTTAAATATAGTATTTATTTATATCAAATGGCTGATAGTTATCATTAGCCCTTTACTTGACTTCAGGCTTCACAGAGGGGAAGGAATAGCAATGTGAAAAAAGTCAAGAAGAGGGGGTGGAACAGAAGATTGTTTCAAAGATGTTAAAGAGACAGACATAAAGGTAGAAAAAAGGTGAGCTGAGTACTGTGAAAGTGGTCGAAAATGACATGCAGTGGGGTCATGGTAGCTCGAAGTCAGAAGTCAACAGCCGGTTTATAGACTTTTTTGCCGTATGAGTATACTTTGCCCAGATGCACCACGTGGAGATAAGTCTATCGCGCACCCCACACGCCAAATATACGGGCAAGAAAAAGTGGTCATCATATCCAGTATTCAGATGTCTAAACACTACGCAGCTCACTTCCGAAAAGATACGCTCATATCCCTTTCTCCATTGTTGTCATACTGGCAGTTTTATGATCAGCTAGTTGCTGCAAGCCAATTCATATAAATTTATTATGTAATCTATTGGGATCATTTAACTACTGTTGTCCTCTGTCATTCTGCTATCACTTTCAGAGATCCACGCCTTACAACTTAAGGATAAATATGAAATTCCCTATTGCGGATAGTGAAGTAAACCGATCACTGCATTCAGGCGAGTATGTTCTGGTGACCTTCAGTTTTTCCATACCGGCTAAATCGATCAGTGATTACAAAGCGGACCTTTTCCTCAATTCTAATCAATACGTCACTTTGTGCTCTCCACACATAGTGAGTGTCGGATCCGATCTCATTTGGAGACCACCTGCCTGCTTTTATAAAAATTCGAGGTATGATGAAAAAAAATAGAAATCGATTCAATACCGACTAATTAAAAATTTGTCTATTTAATACCTATTTTTATTTTAATAGTTGTTGCCTTATTTATTAGCGATTTTTACCTTCATGTTTTTTCTACTCTACAGATCATATAGAAGATTTTTAATTATGAAATAATCGGAAATTCTGATATTGAAATAAAAAGTATGCATTACTAAAGTTAAATATTTTTTCTTTTATTAGTGACCATCCAGTTCACCAAATCACCTACGATCTGGGAAATATAATTTCTATTGCGGACAATAACAATGAGGTTAGTAGATCCCAACAAATATAGGCGCATTATTATTAATTTTTAATTTATTGTAATTAAAAAGCCAACTGATTTAAAAAATTGCTACATAAATTTTAACATGTTTTACCAATCTAATACCTATCGATTTCTATTAATTGAATGTGGTTTATGCAGTCATTATTTTAATACTTCAAAAAAATAATAAAAATTCTAAATCTAAATATATTTATTTTTAGATTGTTTTGGGTTCCTATTTACAAGTGAAAAATGAGAAGATTCCCGGGGTTCAAAGTTTTTCAGTTACTGGAAGAATCAAAGGTTTTGAACAAAGCCAAGCGTTCACCATATCACCACAGTCAGCATTAACCCTAGGGGCATCTCCTCAAAAAACGGTGTCAAACGCTATCAAGGGGGAATATCGATTCGAATTCGAGACGCCATCACTACTCGTAGTCCGCAATGTAGATGAAGCTTATTTCCGCATCAAAGCGCACTTTAAGCCAAATGTCCATCTGAACGATTTGATTTTTGAGATTACATTTCCAGGAAATACCTCTGAGCCGAGTCATCTGGTGGCAAAGCAGATTCAATACCAGGGAGGAGGACACTTCCAAGGGGTTACATTTTCCAATTCTCCGTCGCTAATTAAAAATGGCACTGCCAACAACTCCTTAGTTACTGCTTCATTATCACTCGGTCCGGTCCTTAACACTGGTAAAAAAATTTATGATAAAAATATTGTAATTTATCCTGATTTCCCATCTGAACACATGTTTTTTTACGTGGAGCTGAATTAAAAGAATTCATTTTGAACTACTAGCAATAGGTGATTTGTTGCTAAACAAACGACCATAACAAAAAAGCTTATATATTAAACAGTTTTCAAAGAATAAAATTGAGAATGGATATGATCTGCCAACAAAATAAGAAGGTTAAATTAACTACAGAATTAGTTACACGGAGCAAGAGCATTTACTTTCACATGAGGACCAATAGCAAAATGGA